TTACACTTAAACATTCAACTAAACATTCAGAACCTAGGAGCACCAGAGAGAGAGTTTGCAGAAAAGAAGTGAAATGACTTTATATCAACGAACCCAACTCTTCTCTTAGGATACATATAAAGAAGCAAGAAGTTCAGATTTATATCATCTTACATAAACCAGTCCCCAGTCTTCTGACATCAGTCCCCTGCATGTCTTCAATATCTCTGAAAAGAATGTGTGTGACAACTAGAGAATAAAGACCTATTTTTGTGTCCTATCCATTCAGACCAAGAACCATCCCTGGTTCACAGGTGTGTTTGCTTTTCAATGACAACTCTACTGAGATATAATTCTCATGCCATAAAATTCACCCTGATAAGTGCACACTTCAGTCATTTTTAGTATATTTACAGAGTTGTATAACCAACACCACTACCTAATTTTAAACATTTTCTTCACCCCAAAAAGAAACCCCATACCTATTAATTAAATTGAAGACAATACCATATCTTTTAAAAAGAACCCTACTATTCCAATGACATGTCCAACCAACTATCTTACTACTAAAGAATGTCACTCTCTATCCTTATATCCACGTCTTCAGCTAAGTCAAAAAATAGCAAGATTTGTAGAAGGCAAAAGGCAAAGAGCTTAAAAAGAAAAGCTATAGAGAATCAGGAATGTAACATTTCTAGTCAGAAAGTGCTCAAAAAATGATGGAGTTGTCAAAAGGACACAAAAGCCAGCTCCCATTGATGAGCTCCCAATGACAAAGGCTAAACCAACTGAGTAATAAAATAAAAGAAGATAGTGTCTGGATATTAACCCACCAGGCAAGATAAATACATAAAAATTCATACTGATATGAATAAATAAATAATCTTGGGGGAAGGGATAGCACTTCTTTATAGCAGAACTGAAATTAATACATGTGGAAGGAATAAGGGAAACAGAAAATCACTCTTAGGCAAGCACCAAAGCAAAGACAGTTGCAGGTAAGAACAGTCTGTAGATGCTGAAATCAATGGTCAGAGGTACAGTGAGAAACAGAACATGTACACAGTCTCAATGCATCATTCTACAAGATGCTTACTACTTACAAAGGGAAAATCACTTAACCTTAGAGAGAAGACACCTGGGATTCACAATCTAAGCATACCAGTAACAAGATATATGAATGTTGTGCACATGTGACACACTGAAGAGGTACAACACTACTTCTGTAATATTCTTGCAAAAAGTGTATTTATTTTTTTTTGTACTTTGCATTTCTCACTCTAATAAAGAGAAAACACTAGACGAACCCATACTGAGTGATACTTTACAAAGTCACTAACCAGTGCTATCTTTAAAATTGTAAAAAACAAAGTCAGGTACTGTCATAGGCTGGGGAGACTAAGAAGACATGACAGCTAACACAGTTTATATCCTGGAGGTCCTGGACCAAAACAGGGCATTAATGGGAAAACTGGCAAAATTCAAATAAGGCTTGTAGAAAAACTGACCGTATGGTAACAATATTAATTTTCTTTAGAATTTTTGTATATCTTATGTCAATCTAAATTTATTTCAAAATAAAAAGTTCAGTTTTTTTTAATGCCACTTCTGTAGGCATAAGATCTCACAATTTCAACCCCATTATGAAAAATGACTCATTTTCATTACCTATTATAATTTTCCTATTAGGAAAGACTATCAAATGATGTCAAATTCAGAATCTCAAAACCCAATTCTTATAGTGCATACTGGATTACAGAAGACATAACTAGAAGACAAATCAGTGAATGAAAAATACACTTGCCAAATTCAACATAGCATACTGTTTGTTAACAAAGATATACACCCCCCCACCAAAGGACACAAAGCAATGATCATAAAGGAATGGCCCACAACACAAAAAAACAACTTAAAACATAAAAGGTCAAGAACTGGACAAAACCAACTGAATCATGTGATAAAATCATGACGTGATGGACTTCTGTGGCCAATTTTCATGAGTCTGGCACAAAAGACTTTCCATTAGGTAAAGGTTGGATTGGTTCTGTTACATACCCAGATTTCAAGTCAGTTATCCTCAAACAGTTTGTAGCATCCAGTCCCACCTTTCCATTGCGGACCACACTAGATATGAATGGGGAAAGCATTGGAGAAATTCGGTTCAAGGCCACTTCTGGGGACATTTTAACTGGACTTGTAAATCACCACTGAAAGCAGAAAGAAAGAATGGTGATCAGAGTATCCAGAAGAACTCCATATAACAAGCTTCCTGAAAACTGGCCCAGCATGAAGAAGTTTCTCTTGCAGGAATAAATACAGTGCCTCATTTCCTGTCTTAAGCAGCTTCTCCCAATGAAACCATCTCCCTGCTACTTACCTAGTTGGGACACAGACTACACCACTGCTTTTTGGGAACAGTGGAAACCCTTGAAATCCAATTCCCTCCTCCTTTCCAAAGCTGATTTCTACACTGCCATGCTCCACTTAGTGCTTGCTGCCCCATTCTGTTTTACAACTGGCAGGTTCCACTTTAGTTGAGGCCTTAAGGGGCCTTCACTGACGACCCTCTCCCTCTCCTTCTCCCTCTCCCTCTAACGTGCAAAACCCACCTACCACTAGGTTAGGAATCCTCTTCCTGTGAGCAAGAACATTGCTGATCACACTATATAAAAACCTAGAACAAGCATAACTTGCTTGCAATTGGAACTTACTAGAAATTACTTTCTTCTGATAGACATCTCTTCTTAACTGTTCCTGCACAGGGTATTATAACTACCTGCTTAGTGACCTCTTCCCTGGAGAGATCTCAAATTAAACACCCAATAAACACTTTAAAATAAATACATGAATAAGGAGACAAAAGCTAGAGAAATACTTATGCGTGGAGAGAATATGCCCTCAAAAAATTTGGTAGAGAACAGAATATCTGAAGAATAGATGTAGCAAAAATCTACTTAAATCATGAAAACATATACCCATCCAGATACTTGGCAACACAAACACAGATCAAAAAGTCTTTGTAAAGCACTAAGAAGTTCTTAAACTTGAAAATACAAAAATAAAACCAAATAAACCATATCTAAATTACTTGGAAACCCACGGGGGTGGCGGAGGGAGTACATGAATTCCTCTGAATAGATTTCTAAATGAAAGCCTCTACTTTCAGAGGTGATTAAGTCAGCTTAGATGATCATTTTCTTCCTCAATCTCAAAGGATAACCCCACATCAAAAGCAGTTAATTTCCTGCAAGTTACAAGTAAATAATGTTCTGGTTCTAGTTTCCATGTATTATATACCATATGAGAACTTACATGTTCCTGCTGAAATAAATGCTGAAAACTAGTACCTCTTTTAATCATTTCAGACAGTAATGAAGGAAAGAACTGCAGTGATCTTTCAAGAGATAATAATACTGTGACCCTTCTGGGTGATGACACACAGAGGTATCTTTGAGTCAGTAAAAGCCTTATACTTTAAAGCCGAAGTCATCCTCTCTGTAAATATAAAACAAGCTCCTCTCCCGAACACTCAACAGACAACCTTCTTCCACCATTCCAATATGTCATCATAGAGTAAGAATAAACATTTAATGCATGGTAGTATCCACTTCATAGATAAGAAAACTAATACTTAGCAAGAATATCTAACTTGTTCCAAGTCACCAACCTAGCAAGCAGGAGGAACAGAATTCAAATCCAGGTCTCTCTCGAAGTACACTATTGTCATCTTCCTCTCAAATAAACACAACTTTAATCACTAAACAGAAAAGTATCAAAGTGAAATTTTTAAGTAAACATCTTGTAAAATTTTGACAAAATGGCATGAATTTAAAGTCATGGTTGCTTTACAACTAGAAACAAATTAGACTACTGCTGAAGTTGGCCTGATCAATGGCACTAGTCAAATGCTAAAGGGAACCAACCTGCACCAGAGGCCAAACTATACTTAAGGTGCCTACAACCCATTCATTCTATTTCAGCAACTGTCATGACCTTAGAATGACACCTGAAGGAATGAATTTCTTTGTTTCTAGAAGAGCCAAAATACAACTTTTTGACAGTTCAAGGTTTCATGCAGTGTTAAAATCCGTTTCAAGTGTGAGGTGCTGTGACTTCTCTAAAGGAGAAGGAAAAAATACTCCAAAATCCGAGGTCACAGAATAGATGATGCTCCTTTGGTGCAGTCGCTCTGAGCCAGGGGTGTGGCTGGAGGGATCATCCCCCAGTAGTAGCTTTTACAATTCTCAACACTGTAATACATGTCAGACAGGCAAAAATGTATGGTGGCCAGCCTCCTTTGAACGCCAGTCAGGAATTTGTATTTCCTGATTTTGACATATTACAGAAGGAAAATGCAGAAATACAATTTTTACAGGTGTCTGCTGACTCAAAATAAGGTCACATAAGATCTTTTGATAGGCCTCCTGGGGAATACAAAGACGTCTACAGCGTCGTCCAGTTTCTTGCAATTAAGATGGGATGACAAACACGGAAACATGTGCCCTGTTGACGTCATGGAACGGAAAGGGGTAGCGTCCAGCTGCGTCACGTTAACGTCATGCAACGCACGAGGGAAGTTACACCGAAGAATTTTTCAAAGGGGGAGCATTTAAGCAAAACAAGCCAGCTGAGACCCAAAGAATGACCACCCCTCTCTAGGAGACATTTAAAAGGGGCACCCTCCCTTCTCCTAAATTGTAGGAGTCCACTAAACCGGAAGGAGGAGGTCAGGTTAATCCGGGACCAGGGGGCGGGCTAGGTGAGGAGAAAGAGTAACTCCTGGCCTTGGGGTCTCCGTCTTGAGGGAACCAGCGTGAGGGGATGAGCAGGGCATCTTTGGAACAGGGGCCTTCTCCACAGGAAAGGGAGGCGAGCTCTGGGCATATTTAAACCACGGTCCTCAGCACCACCTGTGCGACTCGGGATCCAACCTCCCCACACCAGCCCCAGTCTAGGTACCTGGAACTTAATCCGTTCGGTAACCGGCGACTACTTGGGGTACAGGTTACCCGAGCGCGCCCCCGAACGACGCACAGACCAGCGCGCGCACCGCGGGCCAGTGCGTGCGCGCCCCCGGACGTCCGCCCCGCCCCGCCTGCGGCCCAGCCTGGCGGCGTGCGCGTCCCAGGCCGCACGGAGCTGCTGTTCAGGAAGGCGTCCCCGTACTGCCTGAAAGATCCTTCCTCGGCACCTTCCTCGAGCGTGGCGAACAGCGCGGAGGCTAGAACTATCGCAAGGGCCTTATAAGGAGAGGCCGTGCAGGGAGACAATTCCTGGAAGAACTGGGGACAGTTGGGGGGCGGAGTTATTCGGGCATTCAGGTGGGCGACCCGCCTAGACGTCTGGAAGGCCCGGGTAGTTAGGGAGCGTAGGACTGGAGTCTCTGGTTACGGGGTCGGACAAAGGGTAAAGGTTACCCTCCAGATTGGAGAGCGCCACCTTAGAGCCATGGCCGCGTCTGGGGAACCCGGGAAGCAGTGGCAGGAGGAGATGGCGGCGGTAGTGGTGGTGGGCTCCTGCATGACAGACCTGGTCAGGTTAGTCTGGGGCCAGGTTGAGTCGGGCTGGGGGAGAGAGCGAAGTGTGTGCTCTTCTCTCTGCCTGGAGACTGGGGCGTTGGAGATGGAGAGGGCCCCCTTTTGGAGTGCGCTACAGGTTTCCCCAGCACGCAGCGTGCATTGATGGGGTGGAGGAGGTGGGATAAGTTTGTCAGGTGAAGGAACATAAAGGCCAGGATATAGTGAATGCCCTAATGGTACCAGAAGCGCCTGCTCCTGTTTTCTTGACCAGGTTTCAAAGCCTCTGCCCTGGCGAGCTGAGTGAGTTTGGCCAAGTCATTTTTACCCCCAAGAATGGGTTGTGCCTGCCTCTGCGCTGTTGTGAGGACTAATGAAATAAAGGGTTTTGTGGCCCCGAATACTATCCAGGTTGGGTATTCTTCGTCTGAACTTGTATAAAGGAGTGGAGCAGAGGTCAATAAGGCGATGATCGGTCACCTTTCACCGTACTGATTGTTGACAGTCCTCAGTATTTCATACTTGCACTTATTTTACATTATTCTAATAACCATGGGCTACCCATGGCAACCCAAGTGTGAGTCAAAAAAAATGGTAAACAAATATTTACAACCACTTTTAAAAGTGATCAAATAATGAAAGAAAATATGCTCAATGGAAATAATTGAGTTAGATTGGTGAGATTATCTAGAGATCCTTTCAGTTCTTTTTTTAATGAAAATGGCTTTTCTGATTATAAAAGTATTCATTATTTTTTTTAAAGATTCCAAGAAAATCCTACCACTGATACAGCTTCAGTTTAATATTTCCATGAGTAGCATTTCAGATACAGTGCTATTTTTATATTAAAAAAATTGAAAAATTGGTCAGGCCGTACTGCCCCAAGACCTCATCTGCCCCAAGACCTCACTTTTTCGAAGGATGGCAGAGAACCTAGAAATAAAAAGGACTTGAGACAATCAAAATAAGTCACCAAATCCCTGCACTAAACCTGGGTTTTACTTGGAAAATAGTTCTAGGATCTTCACCTCCTCACCTTAATGTTTCATAGCTTAAAATGTTTCTAAGTTCATATATCCAGGCCAAAATTGGGGAAGTGAGAGTAGAAAGGGGAGGGACTGCTAGGGGCAGATACAGTGATTGTTAGAAACCTGAAAGCGACTGGGAGTGTGTAACAACAAGTAACAAAGAGTTTTAAATGCCAGTGGCCTTTGTTTTTCCACAAATATTTGAGCTACCTGTCAGACACTGCCAAGACAGATGTGCTTCCTTTGGTGAGAGAGCATAATGTTCAGTCTAGCAAAGAGGCTACACATCCTTTTGTAGAGCAAGAGTCAACAAAACTCTGTAAAGGGCCAGATAGTAAATACTTAGGGTCTCTAGGTCACATCTGTTTTTTTAACAACCCTTTTAAGATGTAAAAACTATTTGTATCCCCCAAACCTTGCAGAAACAGCCTTCAGGCCACAGTTTGCTGGGAGCCCACTATAGTAATTAAGTTAGTAATAGGACTCTTTTCAAGAAAAGATAATATGGTACTCATTAATTTTTCATAGTAGTATAAAGGGCATGTGTTTCTTTTTAGTAATAGTTTCATCAAATATATTGAAAGTTTGTTACCTAAAGGAATAAACCTGCAATAAACCTTTAGACATCTAAAATAATTCATTCCCTAGAAAATCCATCTAGCTGAATGTTTACCATAGGTGAAGTGGCAGAAGAGTAAGAGAGCTAAACAGTTTTCCCAAGTAACCTCCGTAAGCAAGAGTGTCAGGGTTAATATTCAGGGCCACTTCCTTGTTCATCTTAAATCAGAGTTTTCTGTGAAGCTTGACCACCAGACATTAAAGGTAATTACAATACTTCCTAAAATCAATACACTTGCCCTGACCCATGTGGCTCATTTGGTTGGGTGTTGTCCAGCAAAGCAAAAGGTCACTGATTCAATTCCTAGTCAGGGCACATACTTGGGTTACAGGTTCCATCATCCCAGTGGGTCCCTGGTTGGGGCATGTGTGAGAGGCAACTGATTAATGTTTCTCACCCTCTCTATCTCCCTCCCTCCCCCTCTCTAAAGATAAATAAAATCTTTACTCTTTAACTTTGGGGATGGTGGAGTGTTAGAAACCCATGTTAGCATCTGTCAGGGTTTTACTATCTCATGTCAGAGCTGGAGGAGTTTAGAAATGATTTATCCCAGCCCTTCAGTTTATAGGTAAGTAAACTGTACCACCTCTCTAGTGTCTCCTCTCTTGCTGTCATCTTTCCTGAATAAGAGGTGTCTACTCTTCACATGAAAATTTTATTCCCGTAGACTCTTTCACATGACATTTCTACAAACTTCTCATGGTATCTGACTACTTCTGCCTCTGAAGCTCTTACACAAAATACTTGAATATTGTATTTTTAGTTAAAACCCTGCATCAGTGATAAACTTGAGTCCTGCTTTACTAGTTATGATACATATCACAATTGTATTAGTTCCCTATTGCTGCTGTAACAAATAGTCACAAACTTAATGGCTTAAACAATACAAATTTGGTACAGTTCTGGAGGTCAGAGGTCTGACACAGATCTCACTGGGCCAAAATCAAGGTGTCTGTGGGACTGTGTTCCTCTCTAAAGGCCCTAGGGGAAAGCTGTTTTCTTGCCCCTTCCAACCTGTGGCGGCTGCATACATTCCTTGACTCATGGCCCCTTCCTCCATCTTCAGAGCCAGCAACTGGTCAGTCCGGTCTCTGTCATGGCATCACTCTGGCACTCCCACTTCCGCCTCCCTCTTCTACATCGTAAGGACTCTTTGTGATTATATTCGGCCCAAACACATAATTTAGGGCAGTCTCCTTATTTTAAGGCATCTTATTAGCAATCTTAATTACCGTTGCCTTGTAACAACATATATGCAAGTTCCAGGGACTACAATGTGGACATCTTTGGGGCAGGGGGAGGGGTGGGGAGGCATTATTACAGTGGTTAAGCTTAAAGTCAAAAAGATTTGTAATTCTTAGAGGACCACTGAAGCCTATCAGTCCACCCACATTTTACAGCCAAGGTACCCAAGAGAAGTTAAATTACTCACCCCACATTACTCAGCCAACAGGGGCTTAGAGAAAGCTGCAATCCAGGTTTCCTGACCTTTCTTTCCATTATATCATACTCCCTCCACCTCTATCTAGTATTTAGTGCCCTTTTCATCCACAGTTCATTTGAGAGCTTGTAGTCTGTACATTTATTAACTGTTTGCTGTGTAAGTTAATAAGGAATAACAACTGAGGATTTTTAATTCTCACATCTAAAGATAATATCTTCATTACTTTTCATTTTACTTCTAAGTTTATCTGTACCTAACTGGATACCTACGCCTATGCTGTAGAATCACTAGAAATGAAACTACTTCCGTAACTCAGCCCTCTTGGATGGCATCCAAGTCTAACTCACTTTATATATTACATTACTGTGTGCCAGACACAGCTAATTCAATCAATGAGCAACGTTTTTTTATTCGTTTCTAATTTTAGTTTTCTATGAATAGTAAGCTCCATACTAATAATTTTTTAAATCATTAACTTACCTAACATGGCAAACAGTGAACATTATTTAATACCTACCTGTATTTGTCATTATTCTCTTCCTTCCTTTTGAACACTCATCTCTGAAATTCCACGTTGCTAAAATAAATCAAGCCTGTCATTGTGGAAAATTAAGTCAGTTCCTCCAAAGACAGATGACCATGAAAACCCAATAACAAATGAATTTTTTCAACATTAGGCTCACACGCCTTGGTTAGTCATGCTTTCGCTAGTAACCTTTATTTCTTATGACATGCATCACACATTTTTCAATTATTCATTCAACAAGTATGTGTTGACTTTATACTGTGTGCCAGGCACTCTTCTTAGGTGCAAAGGATACAGCGAAGAAAAGCACAGCCAAAAATCCCTGCCTTGTGGAGCTTACATCCTTCTGTGGAAGAAGACAGTATCAGTAGGAATAAGTAAAGTACCCAGTATGTTAGATAAATGCTAAGGAGGAAAATAAAGCACAAAAGGGAGGTGGGGTGGCAGTGGCAATTTTAGATCACTGGCCAGAGAAAGCCTGAGAAGCTGATTTTGAGTAAAGATGTGAAGGAGGAAAAGAAGAAAGCCGTGCAGATACGGGTCTTCCCCACGTGCAAAAGCCCGGAGGTGGGAGCATGCTGTTATGATCAGTGTACGACAAGGAGTTCGGTGTGGCTGAGGAACACTGATGATTAAAGGATGTTAGGTCAGAACCTGAATGAGATGGAAATCCGTTGGCAAATTTGAGTGGAGAAGTGACATAATCTGACTTACATTTTAATATAATCCCCCTGGGAGCAATGTGTGAGGGTGGATTGAAGGTAGGCAAGGGCAGAAGTAGGGGGACCAGTTCAGATGATCACAGTAACCTAGGCGAGAAGAACCTAGCTCCAAAGCAGTGCAGGTGGGAAGAAGCGAGCATCTTTTGAGTGTATTTTGAAAGCAGAGCTGGCAAGATTTGCTGAGTACAAGATAGGCCAAGGATTACTCCAAATTCCACGCCTCCGCAGGCGGAAGGGGACATTACCTCTGCTGAGATACAGGAGATTGTGAGCAGAGCAAGGTGGGTAGGGGGAGGGCGCTGTCAGGAGCGGAGGGTAGACGTGTGAGATCCGAGGTGCCTGTTAGACATCCAGCTGAAGGGTCAGCAAGGCTGGTGTATGAGTTTAGATTTTAGAGGACAGGTCCAGCTGCGGATGTAAATTGGAGAGTCCTCCATGCATAGTCGGTATTTAGAGCCGTGGGGCAGGATGAGATCACTGAGGGTCTGAGCTCCTAGGGCACTCCAGCATTTAGAGGACGCATCTCTTAACATAATTTGTCTTCTGCGTCCCAGGCTCTCTGTACCACTGACATTTGCTTTGAGACAAGTCTAGTAGAAAACCATGTTTACATTTCCACGGCAATAGACTGTGATGTCAACTCAAACCCTACGTTATCCCTTTCCATGCTCCAATTAAAAGT